CACTTGCAGTTCCTGCATGGCAGCTTGTAACAGTGGCCAGGGAAGTCTACGTGGTCTGATGCATCTTCAGAGGCTCATGGTCTTGGGAAGCAACAGAGTAGACCAAAGAGTGGGCACAATTACATATTTGGGGAACTGAGACTGGTAAGGAATGTCTCATGTCTACGTGAGGCAATCAGTACTGCTTTGCGGACATTTGAAAGCATTTCTTTGGAGTTGATTGCCTTCGAATGGGAGGGCCCAGGAGTGTTTATTAGCTGAACACTTGGCCTGTGAGCAAGTGATTCCAGCTTGATACAGGAAATTGGGAGATTAAACCAATTTATCCTGTGAAGGTAAGATACAAGTTGGTGTCTGCTTCCTTTTATCTGTCGATTGAAATTAGCATGGCCTGGAAAACAGAGGAGAGGAACAAAGGAACAGAGGAGATCCCAAAGCCAGAAGCTGTCACTTATTTTACGCTTCGTAATAGCCACTGCCCAAGACTGTCTTACCTGTAAAGCTTATTAATCATAATTAGCAAATTAGCCAATTTTACCTCTAACTAGAGTATTAGTTCTTGTTAAGAAAGTTCTCAATAAATTGATGTCTTTTATTCCTCTGAGCCTTGGATGACTCCATTATGATAGCAACATCTAACAGCTAGGGAAGGAACTACTCAGGAAAGAGGAAGAGATTCACTTCCCTTGAAACCTACTGTGTGGTATAAGACAGGAAAGTATTCACTTGCATGTCAAAGCAGAAATCTGTCCTGGTCTCCAGTTTTCTTGTTCCAATAAAACTGTGAAATTGCTTAAAGAAATGAATGACAGAAACAAAGGGATGGGAGGCAGGGTGAGGGGACTGCGTTCTGTTCAAGGTGCAATCAAAGCACCTGTCAGGCAACGTACATGTCTGATAAAATTGATTGCAACACCCAGTGGGTAAGATTGCAAGGTATTTCTTACCTGAATAACTGTGAAGGCACTGCACCCACTCTGGGGACGTGTAGTTATGTAGCTAACATGAAATGACAATTCAAATTAAATGAATTGGATGCTGGCAAATGAAATGGGCTGCTTGCGCATTTCTAACATGAATAGCTAGAAAATGATAACTTCCCAGCATATCGTGAAGGCTAGAGCAGAGGCCAGCTCTATTCTGACACAGCATGTAAAACCAAAAAGGTTGATCTGAGCTTACCAGCTACTTTCCTCAGAGAAAAAAAGAGCCTGCAGAACCAGATGCTTAGCTGATCAAGATCCATACAGAAGTTTCAGTACAAGCAAGAAGCTGTTGGCCATCCTGCATGCAACGACCACCCTGATTCCTAGCTCTTAGCCTTCCTGAGTGCAGTATGTAACTGTTGGAAGTTATTAGAGATAACAGCATGACAGGGTAACAAATCACACTGGAACCAAATGCCATTTCATGCTTAATCACCAACTAAGTATCACCAGGATGGAGAAGAGATTCTGAAGAGCAGAAATGCTACAGTCCTACCTCATGAACAACTATGCTGCGAGTCTGCCCTCCTCACATAGAGTTCAGGCCCAGTGCAATGAGCCAATGACAGAAAATAAATGTGAAAATCCTCTTGACATAGATTTTTCCTCTGCAGACAGATTTGCCTCTTGCCAGAACCTTTTTTTTTTTTTTTTTTTTTTTTTTTTTTTTTTTTTTCCAGTTTTTCTGCAAAAACTCCTCAAGAACTGTTGAAGAGGTATAAAAGGAATTGGACAGTAGGCACTGAATGGATCTGGTCATCCACTACAACACTTCCTCTTTCCTCTATTGCTTTAAACTATTCTTCATGCAGCCTGTCATGCACTTCTTTCTATCCAAAGGCTTAAAAACCACTAGGTGCTATTAGGAGAGAGCTACAGAGACACAAAGGGAGCTGTGGATAAGGTTTAATAGGCCACATCTCCATGGCGAAATGCATTACATGCCTGATTATAGAGGAAGGCAGGTTTTAAAAAAAAAAAAAAAAAAAAAAAAAAAAAAAAAAAAAGAGAAAAGAAAAGGTCTTTTAACTAACAGTACTCACAATAGCTCTTGCCAGTCTGGCATGGGGCAAAATTAACACCATACCTCATTTGATGTTTAGTTAATGGTGAGCACAGACACACATCAGAATTTTTCTGAAATGCATCAGAAGGAGTCTTCTGTCCACGTGAATTCTGGGCTTTCTTGAGAATAATGATTTTTAGAAACTAAAGTCCAGATGTCTCTCAGATTTTGTTAGTTTTGAATTAAAGAGTTCTAACATGTTCCAAGTTCACCTTCCTTAACCTACCTTCTCAGAAGTACCTGTGACATGTGAAGGCAGCCAAGCACCCAGTGCAAATGGAGACATGAATGGAAAGGGAGAGGACTGGATAGAACTATCACTGCTTTCAACACTTCTTGCAGTGGCAAAGCAACAGCAGACAGCTTGGAGGCACAGAATCCCTCCTCTCCTAATCATCTTCAAATACTCTGTCACTTTCTTGTCTGTTCCTTTTGATTTAATTCTCTTTTCTGGCATGTTTTATTGTAACTGTATGCTTCTATCAGTTACACAAGGACAGATTAATATCAAAATCTGATGTCAAGAGCTCCCTAATCCAAATGGTCTCCCTTATGTATCTTCTAATAGGTTACTCAGAACAGTATTTTATCCCACAAAAAGCAAGTGCTGCTGCTTTTTCTATGTGTGGCCTATGGATTGATCCTTTGAATAGCCACGTGTGCAGGAAGTACCAGCTCTCATAGCCTGACAGCCTTCCTATGATTCACTGTAGTAAAAGGCCATTTCTGGAAGTCCTGGCTGACAACTTGATGAGAATAGGAAATTCTGGAAACAATTAGTCAATGAGCCAAAGGGTGCCATAACCATAACTAATAAAAAAGCTCTGCCCTTTTTTGGCAATTGCACTCAAAGAATCTTCAAGTACCGAATATATCATAATTAATTGTATCTCATGCCTTCTCACCTTCCCTCACAAGGAGGCAATTACTTTTGTTTTACAGACAACCTGTGGTACCTAGGAGCGAAGGACTGTGCTCAGTAGATGTGTCTAATAGCCTGTGACAAGGTACTTTTCAGGGCCAGTTCTTTTCAACGTTTTTATGAATGATTTGGATGCAGGATTTGAATGCATACTGAGTAAATTTGCACATTGTACTAAATTAAGAGGAGCTGTTGGCTCCCTTGAGGGTAAAGAGGCCTTACAGAGAGATCTTCACAAATAAGAGGGCTGTGCAATCACCAACTGCGTGAAGTTTAACAAGAGCAAGTGCTGGATTCTGCATCAGAGAGTGGGCAACCCTGGCTATGTGTAAGACTGAGGAAGGAGAGGCTGGAGAACAGCTTTGTAGAAAAGAGTTTGGGGGTTCTGGCTAACAGCAAGTTGAATGCAAATCAGCAGTTTGTTAATTTCCAGTTCTGACTTTTTTAGCTCACTAATTGGATCTGGTTGAGATAGCAGAGTCACTATGGATTGGGGTCACTGATTTTTCACAAATGTGTTTCAAAGCTCTGACCTTAATTTCTGTTAGCAGTTGTCAGCATCAATAGTTCACATTTGCCCAAGCAGAAGCAGTACTTAGGTGCCCATTTTAAACATGGGACATGTTGCTTAACAGAAAGGCCTTGACCTTTTAAGGATGTCATATAGCTTACCATTTAATAAGATATGCCTCTAATTTTTCCTTTGAACATCCATTTCTGCCCGTGCTTTAAGAATAATTATCAATATACAATTCCTAGCAACATTCCCCTTGTGGTTTTGAAATACAATGTTTATGTACTTACAGAATCACAGAATCAAGAATCACAAGGTTGGAAACAACCTGCAAGATCATCTAGTCCAACCACCCTCCCATTCCTATCAGTACCACAAGCATTAAACCATCTCTCGTAGCTCCTCATCCAGGCGCCTCTTGAACACTACCAGGGACGGCGACTCCACCGCCTCCCTGGGCAGCCATTCCAGTGCCTGACCACCCTTTGAGAGAAAAAGTTTCTCCTAATATCCAACCTAAACCTCCTCTGGTATAACTTCTTGCCGTTTACCATTACGTTTACGTTTACCATTATGCCTTTTCTAGTTCAGGTCTGCAGCTCAGGGGATGTGATGGTAGCATGAAGCACTACCGGGATTCAAGTTTAGGTCTATCAGTTTGGCTAGCAGATGTAAGCAGGTGACCGGAGTCAGAAAGATGACCTCTTCCAGACCTGTTCTTGTGAAGATGTAGCATGCAGTGGAGAGCATAGCCAAAACATGCCCTCTGCTCCTCTGAATGCTGTTCATCACAGATTGCCAAGTACAGTTTAAACAATGTTTTTTTCCTTTCACCTGAGAAACTAGGGAATTCTCTTTGAGATATGAAACCCCAAAATCTTGGGATTCAACCCACAGAAAAACATGTGTGACACATCTCCATTTCCCCTTGACACTGATGATATTTACTCTCCATACTGAGATCAGTCACTGTGCACGATAGGTGAAGGGGCAAGGAAAGCCTGAAAGACTCTTGAAAAACGATTTTACCAGCAGTGGGAGCTTAAGGAATTGCTGGCAGTCATCTAAATGTCCCCTCCACATCACTGTATCTAGAACTTGTAATTTTTTTTTTACCATTAAGACTCATTGCTGGTAAGAAAATAAGACAAATATTAATGACAAAAGTCCTCAAATGAAGTTTTCTCTCAAAGCTTTTTTTGTTGGTTTGTTTTTAACCTTCTGAATTACGTTAATATTTCTGGGGTGGGGGAAGCGGGGAAGATAAAAAAAAGCCTGAAATAAAGGAATAATAAGGATAATAATATGACTACAAAACGAGAAAAATTACTAGCCTTATTCCCTTTTCCAGGAATTTCAGAATACAGAGATCTATCTGACAACAATTATCAAAACTATGTAAACTATAACAGAAAACAGTACTGCCAATGGACATCCCATACTTCCAACAAGACTGAAAGGTTAGAGGATAAACATGATAAATGCATCTATATGTGGGAGTTCAAAACTTACCCCTAATGACAACAGGCATATCCTGAAGCATTCCTCTCTTTAGAAGTTGTATCTGCCCTTTAAAGAAAAAGAAGGGAAAGAATTAATTTCACAAATGATTAATAGTTCAGTGCAGTAGCCTATTAATGGATGTGTAATTGACTAATAATTGCACACCTCTCTATGCCTCTACTTAAATTAAATCTGCCACCCAATCCATCAAGTTTGTTTACCAAACATGTTGTAGACTGAACAGTTATCTAAATGCTCCTCCAGCAGGAAAAGGGGATCAGCAGACTTTGGTCTTTCAGAACATCAGAAGCACTAGAGCCTAAATGGCTCAGTTACTCCTTTTATTCACTGTGAACTGCAAGTGAGTCAGCTGATTTAATTCTGCACAGCTGGCATTTTTTAGGTATAGCTCAACCAAAGGGGCAAAGGAAGCTGACCTTATGTACTATCCTGGCCATCCCATCCCATCATTCAGCAGTGTTTGTGGAGGTTTTCTAGGAACTGGTTCTGCACATGTTCTCAAGAGACAAACCCAATTTAAAATGGGAAAGTTTCACAAGGTTCAAGTCTTTGCTTTCTCCTGACTTCATGGTTCAGCGAAGGGGATGGTGGAATGGTACAGATGGAAAGGAATTGAGTTGTGAAGTAGGAAATCTGTAGCGTGCTTCTTGATCTTCTGCTAAACTGCTTACCTAACCTGCTAAATCCATTTTTGCTCTTGTCCAGCTCCTAATGTTAGAGTCTAGGATCCTCAGCACAGAACATCAAACCAGACAGCATCTAGCAAAGCATGGCCCTTCTCAGTTTGGTCTTTTTGCAAAATTAAGCATGCACCTGCTACAAAAGGGTGTATATCTACAAGAAAATAGATGTAGAAATATTTGTCTCCTTGTTTGTTCCTGTGTTTATCCTTGCAGTTCTGGAGCAAACCGTGACCATACAGACATACTGTGCTCTGATCAACCCTATGTTCATTTAACAGAAACAAGAACATTAAAGCAGATTGAGATTTTCAGTTCAGAATGTTGTTCTGACACTGCTCCACATATAACTGGTGAACCTCAACCTATCTTTCTCTGAGCAAGATTTAAGCAGGTATATATAACTCTGGAGTTTGCCATCGTTCTGCCCCGTCCCTGGAGGTGTTTCAGGCCAGGCTGGATGGGGCCCTGAGCAATGAGAGCTAGTACTTGATCTAGGGGTTTACAACTTCATGGTTGCAACTTCATGATCCTTGAAGACCCTTCCAACCCAAGCTGTTCTATGATTCTATGAACCCAAGGCTCTGAGGCACTAAAAAAACACTGAGCACTACTGCAGGTAGCCTTAATTTGAAGGTCTGGCACATTGGCTTTGCTAGGTAAGGCTGAGCAAATTTCACTGCACGCAAGCTCATACTAAGATCTGGCTCCAGAAAGTTTTAGCCCAGAAAAGACAGCCCCAAACCAGCTCCATGGGTAAATGTCCTACAAAGTACAGATAATTAAGGACATCACTTCCATAACTGAAATGAGTAGTACTAGATGAAAAGCAGCTAATCTTTTTCAGTGCTTTAATGAAACGATTCATCATATACCTCAGGGTTGTCTCCTATTGCTTTAGAATAAGGAGAGAAAGCAGGAATACTTACACTGTCAGCCCTTCCTGTTATTCAATTGTACTCTCGATACAGGATTGCCTCAAGCAATAAATACACGTGCTACAAGTACAAGTGGACCTTTTGTAGCTTACAGACCCATCCTAGTATAGCTTGCAGGTTTAACAGGAGGCATTTCCTGAAAGTAGAATTTAACCACCCTGGAGAACAGAATTTTTTTTTTCCACCCCTCCAGTCTATCAGTCTTGTTTCTTAAGGTAGTTTAATCTTCCTCTCTCTCAAAAAGTACTAAATCTTCTCGGTAGTAGAAGAGAACATCTGAAGAGAAAGAAAGTGAATTTCAGTGGAAATTCAAAGGCAGTGCTGATTGTTTGCTAGGAGAATACCTGTGTGTACCTCTAGCTAGATACCTCAGCCAGAAACAGAAGATTTGCTGGCTTTAGTAGGAGCTTGCTAGCAGCTGTGAAGCTGTGAAGATAATTCAGGCAAGCTTGTTCTCTGACCCACTTGTTTTTACTTTCCTCATTATCTTAGAACTTGCACTTCTGAGCAGTATTACCTTCAGGAGGTTTAAGGGCTGTGGGCCTTGGCAGATTGTCAAAGGTAGCTGAAATTTTTCTGAATTTTCATGCTTTTGAGGTTTATTCACTCAAATGAACTTTAAAAATGTGAAAAGGGCTGCCAAAGTCTAGCACTAAGAATGAGGTAGGAAAGGATGTGTGGTGCTGTCTATTTCTTTTTGGAAATAGCTGACTTTCCAGAGCAATGCCAGCTATGGCGGGATGGATCCATTTGGAGCTGCAAGCCCTGCATATCTCAGCCATGGGAATCACTCTTCTGAAGATCAAGGGGCAATGCACAGGGGCAATAACATTCAAAGCCCCAGATAGCCAGGATGAAGATGTTATAATTTCCAAATAAGTGTCTAACTTTTTACAATATCCTGATCTGGCATGTCACTTAATTAACCTAATCACAAAATCCCAAATATATACCTGTTAATATGCAAAAATCCCTATTTCTACTCAGTCAATGTAAAACAAACATTTCTCATTACTACCCCAATGCAAACAGAAAAGATTCTTGCAAAGAAATTAATCCAACAATTCACTGTATTTCACATTTGTGTACATAAGTAAGACCCTGGACCCACGTAACCAGTTGAAATCGAAGTATTTATTGGTTGCTTTATCTCAATACTGCAGCTTCTAATAACTGGTCTTATCAAACTCACGTGGCACTGCATGTGGGCCTGACTGTTACATGACAGCCTAACACTGGAGGTAGCTTTTACTGCATTTCCCCACTGCATAGCGTTATTTATTAAAGACTGCACAGCAAGAGTCAATAGCTACCAGGATGGCTTCTTTTAACTGGTTTTCCATGTATCTTTTTTTTTTCCCCTAGGATACAGGGTTTCTGTAACTTCACTTCCTGCCAGTTTCCCTTTACTTGTAACCTTGGAATCAGTTAGCAAAAGTCAACCAGATTTAATGGAGAAGTAGAACATAAAGTCTATATTGAGTTCTACAGAAAACAGGTGACAAGACAGAGGAAAACATGTTTCCCAGAAAGAAAAGTAGTGTGAACTCAACCATGTATCAGCAGCAGAAAAATCAGATAGGCCTTAGTTAAGACAATATGCAGTAAGGCAGGTGTTGTTGGGTCCACAACTCCTGGGAATATTTGCAGCTTTTTCTCAGTTCAGTATACTCAGAGTTACGCACAGCAGGCAATTGAATTCCTGTCTTAATGGGACTTAGCAAGTGTGACTGGTACCCCTCTGCTCCTGATCCCTGGCAATATGGTTAGCATAACCAGAAAGAAGGTGAAATGCACAATAAGTAAGCAGGCTGTTATTGTCTCCCTCTGTCCCCTTCTCTCTTTCTCCCCTCTCCAGGGGTTTTGCACCAGGGTTTGGAGATATCCACTGACAGAGTGACAAGGCCATTAGCATTATTGAGAACCAGGTGCTGGATCACCAAGGTGGCATCTGTTCATCACATGAGCATTACTAAATCCTAAGCATTCAAGAGTGAGTCTACCCTGTATTCAACCATTAGACATAGATTTAGACATACCAGTATGGCTCTCCAACTTGAGAAATCTGAAATTTAGTGATATGATTCACCTCAATTTGGCAAACAAATCCATGTTGAATTACTGGAATTTCTCAGAGGATAGAAATTCAGAATTTCATTCATCTCTAATGAATAATTAATTGCTAAACTAATTAAACATTAAAATCCATAATGAGATGGAAGAGACTGACACATGTAACTACCATGAAACGTTTTGTGATCACAGCTGCCTGTCACCATGATTGGCAGCTGCTGTTTGCAACTTCTGTGACTCAAAAAAAGTCATGGTGTCTCTTTTTGCCTTGTCCTCTGACTCTCGTTTGCTGCTTATGCAATTCTAGAACCTACTGGGAAGAGGTCGTGTAAGTGTTAGTTATGATACAGGTTGTTAATATGTGACAAAAATTTAGAACTCTAGGTCAAAAGCTCACCGAAGGCTATAATCAGTAGGTCCTCTTCAGCACTATTAACCTTTGAGTGAAAGCCCAGCTACAGTAAAATGAACTTCGCTCAATGAGCAATGAAGAGCAAACGTCACATTCCTATGGAACCGGCTGGACAAGTCTGTTTTGAGTGAATTCCGTTTTTGAGAGCACAACTAGAGGTTCCATTAGCCCATGAGTGACCAACAAACACAGTTAAAAAGCTCAGGAGAAGCTGAGATGAGTAGCTGTGTTGCCATGGGTTAACTAAATCTTCCAGCATCAATGAAGATGGTAAAAAATATGATGGATAACTAGCAAAGTTTGATCAGATTTCAAATGCATCTCCCAGGAGTAAGCCACACTGAAAAGGCAGCAGACAAAATGTCATTTATAGCTGCCTGGCCAAAAGAATTTGGTAGTTAGTTGTAGTATGTATATTTGCAAAGCTTCTGCAGGGAAAAACAATATGGATACAGTTTTGTAGACACAACTTACTTCAAAAGCCAAACTCAAATGATGTATTTTACTGTACAACAGACAGCAGCAAAAAAGGGTTTAATGCCTATTTTTGATAGATCTTAGCATCAGAGTTCCAAGATAACTATTTTGGTGAAGCAATAATTCTAGATCAAATAGCACTTGGATATACAACAGAAAGAGTTGGTACTTGCTACTCCTTTAGCTTTACAGAACTTACACTCTGGGGACAGACTCAGTTTTCTGAGAATTTCCTTGTAAATCTTCCAATTAGACTCTAAGTTAAAGTACTTTTCATATAAGGTATTGTTTGCCTTTATTTTGATTCCAATTACCTTAACAGTAAAACACACTTTAATCTTTTCATTCTTTAAAAATTCAGTAAAACTCAACAGACAGGATGAATTTGGGAGAAAAGTCTGTTGTAATGAAAAAAAAAACAATTTAGATTCAGTGAGGGGAAACCCACCCAAGAGCTCAGGACAT